CCTCCTTCTCCTTTTCCTTCTTCTCCTCCTTCTCCTCCTCCTCCTCCTCCTCCTTCTCCTTCTTCTTCTTTTTGAGATAGGGTCTCACTATACAGTTCAGGCTGGCCTTGAACTCATTATGTACCCCAGGCTGGCCTCCAACTCCCGGCGATCCTCCTGCTGCCTCAGCCTCCCAAGTACTGAGACTACAACCATGCACCACCATGCCTGGCTAAGGTAGTTTTTGATGAGGAAATCCAGATCCTGGAGAGATATCTTCAAGTGGACAGGAGAAGCCAGCCAGGATATCTCTCATGTCTGTCTGAAGTGAGAAGCTCATAGCTGGCAGGCACTGGGGCCTGAAACTGGATGCCTGGTACCTCTATGGGCAGCTTAAAGTAGCCCTTGTAGCTGTTCATCAGAGACTGGCCAATCCTCACTTTCCAAATCTCCTCCATTCCAGCCTTGTCTTGGTCATTTTCCCATCACTAGGACAAAATGCTCAATGTCCAGGACTTAAGGAGGAAAGGTTTATTTTTTGTGGCTCATCGATTTTACAGGATTCAGTTCACAATCAGCAGCTCCAAGGCAGGAAAGGTCTGATGGAGGAAAGGTCCAAGCCCATGGCAGCCAAGAAGCAGGGAGAGAGAGAAGGTAGGGACCAGCTGGGACCAGAATCCACCCTTCCACATCATACCCAATGACCCATCTCTCCAACCAAGTCCCACCTTTTAATAGGACATTCAGCTACTGATGAGTCAATCTGTGATGAGTGTGGCACCCCATAATCCAGTCACCTTCTAATCACTTGAGGCCTCTGGGGACATTTTAGATTAAAACCATAAGAAGCCCTGAGAAGCCACACTGTGCTGGTTTTTTGTTTGGTTTTGTTTTTTGAAACTGGCTCTCACTATAATATTGCCTAGGCTCTATCTGCACTCCTGGGCTCAAGCCATCCTCCTGCTTCAGTCTCCCTAGCAGCTGAGACCACAGGAATGCATGCCCATACCTGGATCTATACCTTTAAAAAAAAAATTAATGAGTTCATTTGTTAGAGCAGTTTTAGGTTCATAGAGATATTGTAAAGACAGTCTCCATATGTCTGCTATTCGTCCCAGTTCTCCTATTAACACTTTGCATTAGTGTGGTATATATATTATTTTACAACCTATGAAGCAATATTGATTTGTGTGTGTGTGTGTGTGTGTGTGTGTGTGTGTGTATGTAATGCTTTACCACTGAGCTCCATCCCCAGCCCTTTTTCTTTTTCTTGAGACAGTCTCATTATATAGTTCAGACTGGTCTCAAACTCACTATGTAGCCCAGGCTGGCCTTGAACTTACAGCAGTCCTCTTGCCTCAGCCTCTCAAGTGCTGGGATTATAGGTGTGGGCCACCATGCCAGGCTTGCCTTTTTGACTTCACAGCTGAATGTTTCAACAGCATCTCAGGCTCACCAACTCCAAGTCTAGACTGAAGATGCCTCTCCTGGCTCTCTTCTTTCTGTAAATGCTATTGAGCATATGTGGGCTACAAACCCTGGTATCCTCTCCACCCCATCTGTCTCTTTTACCCTCCACATCCAAGTCCACAAACTTTACTTCCTCCACACCTCTTGGACCTACCTACATTTCCACCCTTCAGGTTAATTTTATGTGCCAATTTAACTGGGCCCAGGAGATCAAGTTAAACATTATTTCTGGGTATGTCTGTGTCCTAGTGCATTTTCTGTTGCTAAAAAAAAAGACCCAAGACCGACTCATAAAGAAGAGAGGTTTACTTAGCTCATGGTTCTGGAGGCAATGGCATCTTCTGGGCATCTGGGGAGGCTGTTCATGCTGTGTCACAGCACAGAGAGAGCTGACTTCACAAACAGAGCCTTCCCCATGATGACCCATGAGTCCATGAACTCATAAATGAATCCAGCCTCCTTCCAGAAGGTCCACCTTAGGGACCGAGTTTCTGATACACAGCCTTTGGGGACAGTACAACCTCTGGCAGTCTGAGGCTATCAGGAGGGACTTGCATTCCAGTCAGTGGATGGAGGAAAGCAACGTGTGTAGGAATCATTGGCTCTAGTAAGAGGCTGCATGGAACAGAAAGCCCCTGAGAGGACTGACCTCTGCCTGTGGTGCCAACCTCATGCTGCCCTCCTCTGCCCTCCCCATCTCCTCCAAGCCACCCTACCCTTTCTAGTGCTCCTCACACTGTCCAGCACCCTCCTGCCTGAGGGCCTTTGCATGTGCTGTATTTGTTGTCCCCAGCCTCTTTCTCCCTCTCCATCAACTTCCCCCCTGCCGACACCTCCCCGTCCATCAGAGCTCACCATGTGCCGTTGAATGCTTCCTCTGGTTCAACTCCTGCTCAGTCTCTGCTGGTTGAGGCTCTAGTTGCCTTGAGCTCAGAGATCAAGTCGGGCTTTGCTCACCACTTTATTCCCAGTCCCTAGCACAGGCCTGTCTTGAGACAGGGGCTCAGTAGACATTTCCTTGTGCCGTCAACAAAACTGCATTGTGTGCAACTCTGTGCCAGGCCCTGATCTGAGCAATGTATGTGAGTCTTGTCATTCAGTCCTTCCAACAGCCCAGTGATGTAGGTAGACATGAGTTGCTCTGTTTGCTGTAACACAAGACCGAAATGCAGTGAGTTCAACAGACAGAAATACACTCTCTCTAGAGTTCAGAGATTAAAATTCTGTAAGCAAGAGCCTGACCAGCCCATATTCCTTTCCAGGGCGCTGAGGGAGACCCTTCCTTACTTCTCCCAGCTTCTAGTGGCTCCAGGCATTCCTTGGCTGGTGGCCACATTAATAGATCATTGCCTCCGTCTCTATTTTGTTTTGGTTTTTTGAGACAGGGTCTCACTATGTAGCCCAGGCTGGCCTCAAACTCATGACAATCCTCCTGCCTCAGCTACCCAAGTACTGAGATTAAAAGCATGCATCACTGAGATTAAGGTGTGGCAAACCTGGCTGGGGAAGTAGCTGTGACTTGTTAGCTACAAGATTCCAGACACATGCACAGAACAGTTCCCAAAGCCCTGAAGGTGGACTTCTTGAGAGAACTCAAGCAGGTTTTCAGTAGGACGGCCTAGACCTGGTGTCAGCCTGAGGTGTGGGATCCCAGCACTGCTTCTCAGGACCCATATGTAGAAGTTCTTGTGGGTTTCCTTGAGATTGACAATATTTTAAAAAGGCAGCCATGAGGAGCCATTGCTACCCTAACTTTCACGATAGCTGGTGCCGTGTTTCCCAGGTGCAGTGTGTACTTTTATCTCTGCTCTCTCCCTCTTTTTCTATTTACTTGGCCCAAGCTCACCCTGCCGAGCCAGTTTCTCTCCCACTCTTCATTTTTGCTTTCTTGAATAAACTTTGCCACCACTTTTTGCTCATTTTGTTCAATTCTTTGTTCAAGGTGAGAAGAACCTGGAATCCAGCTCCAGGAGAGGCGAGCTATCCAGAACCTGTTTAGTTGGCAAGACACTTTTTAGAAACAAGCTACCTGATAATATTTTGGTGAACCAGCCAGGAGGGTACATTTTGGTGTGGCCAGGCTTGAGAAATAGGCTCAGGTACCAGAGACAAGCTGGGCAAAAATTTTCGTTTCTCTCTGACTTTTTTTTTTTTTTGGTACCGGGGATCAAACTTGGGACCTTATGCTTGCAAGGCAGGCAGTGGAACCACTGAGCTAAATCCCTGGGTCTCTGCGAGGTTCTTTTTTTTTTTTTCTCTCTCTCTCCTTTTCCTCACTCTCTCTGTCCTAAGCTGGAAATCCAAGGACTCTTTTCAAGGTGCCCAGATAGAGGCTTCTTGGCCTGGACCTGGGGGTGGAGATAAGGAATACAGGCTTTGTTTTTCTTTCTAGCTGCTTGCACTCATTCCATGGGTCCTTGTTTTCTGCATGTTTAAGTTGCTGCTCTTTTTTGGAAATCAACCTGGTCTTTGCATACTCTAGTTTGTGAGTGGCTTTTTTTAGTTTGTGTTTTGGTCAGGGGTGCCACCATGTTACTTTGCCATGCGGCCAGCCGCCATCTTGTCTTGTTGCATAACTAAGTAACTTTTACTTGGGCATGCGCACCAGCTCCTGCCAACTTTTTTTCTATCTCTTTTTTCCCCTTTTTTAAAATAATTGGCCTCACGAGCTAAGCCTCTGATTTTAAACAGCATATGGGCTTATGAAAAACCAGAGAGAAGAACCGTTTTCTTTCTTTCTGTGGGAAGGAAAAACTGTACTATCCCTTTAAGGACTCTTGCAGCCTTTTGCAGGCACAAAACTTTGGGGTGGGAGTTACAACCAGAGGACCTCTGGCTTCTGCAGCCCCAGCAAACTCAGGCAACACAGGGTGGGGCCAGCTCCCATCCCTGCTGGGTGTGGGGAGAAATGGGAATACAAGAAAAGAACTTGTCTGTTTTAAAATGCTCAAGGCTTTTGGCCAAAAACTAGCCACTCCAAGAGCCTGCCTGAGGCCATTGTCACCTGGATTTTGTGCTTCCCTGTTTAAATGCAGCTAAATTAGACTGATGCCTGATGATTGAACAAAACAGCATTTAAAATTCTAAAATTTAACTAAAGTAACTATACATGTATGAAAATAGTCCTCACAACTCTTAGTACTTTTTCTGTCAGAATAAATGGGAGAGATGTTTTCCCACATGGTTTCTGGGTAAGTAGAGTCATCAAGGGACTCGAAATACCAGCTGAGCCATCAAGGGGCTCAGAATAAATGCAAGTCAAACCATCAAAGGGTTCAACTAGATGGCTAAGGAAACTTTGCTTGGGAAAGTTCTGCTCTTACTTCATAGGAGTTTGGATTAGTCAAGGCCAACAGATGGCCCAGCCCCCTTCTCCCTAATGAGTTAATGGATCCAAATATGGAGGTAAAAGCCCCTGAGGGGCTTTCTTCTGTGCTTAATGATGCCAGCATCACTTTAAATTTCTGGGATAAAGACATCTATTTAGGTTTTGTAAAGTCTTACAAGGGGCACCTTGTGGACTTCAGGTCTCCCCTTTCTGCGTGGGACACCTCCTTAAGGAAAGGCCCAGTTAACTCCTTCTCTCTATACAGGCCAAGCTGGGGATTTAGCTCAGTGGTGTCACCATCTGCTGTGCAAGCACAAGGACCCGAGTTCAATCCCCGATACAAAAACAAAAACAAAAAACTGGCCTGTCTATACAGCCCGAAACAAGCACATGGGAAATGTATTGGATCTTGCGGCCACACAGATTTCACTGACATTGCCAGTAGGCTGTATTCTCCATGAATGGGAAAGGTTTGATCCTGACAATCTAAAACAGGAGCAGCTTCTCTGCTATTGTAATATGGTTTGGGTTCATTATGAACTAGGAGATGGTGAGAGATGGGTACAGGATAGTATTTTAAATTATGAGACTATTCTCCAGTTACAGCATTTTTGCTTAAAACACGCAAGGTGGAATGAAATACCTTATGTTCGGGCTTTTGTGACTCTTTATTAAAGGGACTACTCAGGAGCTATGGTGTTTAGAGTGACCTCTGAGGAGGCAAAAGATATTCTGGATGACCCTGCCCTGAGACTCTCACTTGTGTCTCGGGGATGTGGGTCTCTATGATCTGTCTGATACAGGGACGTCCTCCTTGACCTCCTCCTTATAGCTCCCAGGCCAATAAATCAAGTCCACTCCCCTCCCCAACCAAGGAACTCCACTAGAGCCTAGTCCCCTGGGGGACCCCAGTGATTCTCAGGCCCTTCATCATACTTCTCAGACAGCTTTAAGCCTTGTAGGTAGAGCCAGAAGTGGGGCTTCTTACTACCCTAATCCGAAACTTATCCTCCTCCCTAGAGGAGTTCCAGGGCCAAGAGGGAATACTCGAGTGAAAGTCCCTTTTTCAGTTGCAGATGTCCAAGAGTGTAAGGAACTGTTAGGCCAAATATCAGAAGATCCTAGTAAGTTTGCAGATGGGTTTCAAACTTTGGTCCTTACTTTTGATTTATCTTGGTGAATTGTCCAATACATCTTGGCCACTTGCTGTACCCCAGATGCAAGACACAAAATTCTCCAAGAGGCTAGAAACTATGTAGATGAGCAATATACCTCGAAAAGGGAAGGAAACCACCCTAGAGAGGCTATTCTCCCTTCAACAGAGCCAAACTGGGACTGTAATACTCAGTGTGCACTAGAGATAATGTTTAGTATGGGGATGAAAAGGTGCATTAAAAAGTCTGTTAATTATGATAAAGCAAGTGGGATCTTACAGGGTACAGAAGAAAATCCAGCTTTGTTTCATAACCAATTAGCAGAGACTTTCTACAATTATAATAATATAGATCCATCTTCCAGGGAGGGAGAGGCACTAATGAGACATAATTTCATCTATTGATCGGCCCCAGATATTTGACATAACTCTAAAAACTTCAGATGGGCCCACAGACACCTATGACCCAATTGCTGGACATGACCTTTTCCATGTTCAACAATCAGGAACCAGAAGAGAGAGAAAGGAAAAAAGCTAAAATTATAGCTGTTGCAATTGGTAAAGCTTTTAATCCACCCAGGTCGTCTAAGGAAAAACCCAGAGACCACCAAACAAAGAGTTCCTGTTTCAAGTGTGAGAAGACTGGACACAGAACCCAAGACTGCACCAGGTCTCTGCCTGGGCCCTGCTCTAAATTTGAAGCAGCTAATGTGCCTGACTCATGGCACTGGAGATTTGTCCCTGCTCCTGAGAGGGGCTAGGCCAGCCAGAACCTTCATTTCCTGCTCTGACCACTGAAAAGGCCCAGGGGAACCTGAAATGCCCCTGTCCATGGACATCATCATCTCCTCCAGGGAACCCTGGGTAAACTTAGACATCATGGGTGAGCCAATTTGACTGCTTATTGATATAAGGGCAGCTCATTCCATTTTGATTTCCTTCTCTGGAAAACTTTCCTCTAGGTCTATAGCCATAGTTGAAGTGGAGGGGATGCCTAGGAGGGGATTCTTTACTCCTGCTCTGACATCTCACTTTGAAGGAAAAATGTTTAACCATGAGTTTCTGGGTGTGTGTGGTTTTTTGGTTTTTTTTTTAATCAGGGATCGAACTCAGGACCTCACGCTTGCAAGGTAGGTGGTAGAACCGCTGAGCTAAATCCCCAGCCCAAACCAAGAGTTTCTAATTGTCCCACAGTGTCCTACTTCCTTGCTGGGAAGAGATTTTCTAGCTGAATTGGGGGCAATTCTCAAATTCCGCTAAGGACACAATGGATTTTACTTGTCGGGATTACACAGGTCTTCCTGACCAAATACCCAACAAGTTGTTCCTGCTGCATGGTATAAGAGAATACCTGGCAAATTCTTCTATGCTAGTAGTTATAAGACTAAAAGCCCCAGCCAATTTCCTAACCAAAAACAGTATCCAACCAAGGAAGAGGTGCCTAAAGGTCTCCAGCCTCTCATAGACAAGTTTCTCAAATATGGCCTTTTGAAGCTTTGTCAGTCCCCTTGCAATACTCCCCTTCCTGTAGTAAAGCTCTTAGGAGAATATCAGATGGTACAAAACCTCGGCCTTGATAACGAGGCTGTCATTCCAGTTCATCCTCTAGTGGCAGATCCATATACAATTCTCTCCCAAATTCTAGGGGACACTAATTGGTT